GTCAGGCGCTGGGCGTCGGTGTGTGCGGGGCTGCTCCGCGCCTCTGCGGGCCATCTGCGCCCTCTAGTGAAACACAGCCCACGGCTCCATCATCCCCATCCTTCTCCCCGGGGTTCCCTGGGATTTGGGGGTTCGGGCTCTGACCGCTGCCTCTCTCTCTCTCTCTCCTCACCGGCAGGTCGGAGCGCACCGCGAGGACGGGGTCAGCCTCCGCGGGAGCCACTCGCTCGTGCCAAACCAGGTCCCGGTCCCCCAGCTGCCCGTCCAGTCCGCCACCTCCCCGGATTTGAACCCGCCCCAGGACCCCTACAGGGGTGAGTACCGACCGTCTGGAATTCCTGGAATTCGGGGGGTCCGAGCTTGTGGTGGCGGGGACCGCAGCGCAGTTTGCTCATTTATCTCTGCACGCTGAGATCCTCCAGCTGCTACAGCTGGAAGCCTGCGAGCGACTTCCCTCTGCACCGTGAGTTCTGACACGGGGGCTGCTTGAAGCAGCAAAATTTCAGAGTGTAGGAAACCACGGGGCCCACGTCAAAAAGCGGCCGAGCGTAAGGTGAGGCCCAGACCTGCATATTTTCCTCCACCTTCGCAGCTCTGCCTGCGGGCGGGGCGGCAGGGGGGTGCCTCTCCTTGGCTCGCGTGGGGCATTGGGCCGTCCTGCGCCTCCCCGAGCCCTCTGCGGGGCTTTGCGAACCTGGAGCACGCTGGAATTAGGCCTAGAGGCAGCTGATCTTCCTCTTAAAGCAAGGAATAAATTGCCCAAACTGTTCCAATGGTTTGTGAGGTCTGCTCATTCATTGCAGGTATTTTGATGATAATTACATATTAAAGATTTATTTGAAAATGAACGAAAAGTGACAGAGCGATGGAGGAGCAGGAGTAGCATCTCATCCTCCTGCGCCCCCTTCCCCAGCCCTCAAAGCCTGGCCTAAAACCCGGAGCTGCCATCCGCACGCCGGGCTCTGCGGCGATAAGCGGGGGCTTCACCCTTCACGGGGGGGCCGGGGGGGGGGGTGTGTCAGTCAGAGGATCCCCATTGGCCTTGACCCCTCATCCGTGTCTGTTTTTTCTCGCAGGCATGCCCACCGGCCTGCAGGGCCAGAGCGTCTCTTCGGGGAGCTCCGAAATCAAATCTGACGACGAGGGAGATGAAAACCTCCAGGACACAAAGTCTTCTGAGGACAAGAAACTAGAGGATGACAAGAAGGATATCAAATCAATTACTAGGTCAAGATCTAGGTAACAGTATATAATAGTGTCGCTTCATTTAATTCCTTTACTGGATTTCGATGAAGTGAACAGAACAGGAGGAAACTATGAGGTTTTTTCCTGGCAGGTAAAACCACAGCCTAAGCGGAACGGCGTGGCTGTTCTGGCAGTACCGAGTACCTTCGTGGTACCTGTACTCCAGGACGTCCTCAAATTGGAACAATTCACCAATTTGGACACTTTGAGCAAGTTCTCCCCAATCTCTCTAAAGAAATTGCGTTACGCTAAAATGGACGAATTAGGCTGTTATTCCTCTCTGCCTGTGCTTGCAAATTGGAATTACAGTATGGATTGTCACCAGAACGTGCCTGAGAGCTGGTCACACCTGCACCTGAACTAACAAACCGTGTGCTTTGCTTTGACCCCGGAACGAAATTTGTCGCTCCCAGTCCTCAGTTTCTGTAGGGCTCCCTCGGTTTAAGCGGAGGGTTGAGAGGCCTTCGTGGCTTTGGCGTATTTTGTATAAATTTTTGGAAAGAACTAGTGAAGTCGTAGCTGGATTATGTCACCTGGGCACTGGTGGTGAATGTGAGCAAGCTCTGGGGGTGCTGCAGACGTGAGCCTGAGCAAGGGACAGGCTTTACTTCTGTCCCGGGGCCTCACCACCAGGCCTGGGCCTGGCTCAGGACTGCGGGTCCTCCGTCAGCTGAGTCCCGAGCTTTGTAGCAAAAATCCCACTAAAGCTGACATCCAGGCCCAACCCTGCTTCAGTCGGGGTTTATTTTCCGAAGGTGAACAGCAGTGTCCTTCTGCCTTTTCTCCTTCCATGCCTGGCTTCTGTCTGAAAACCCAACCGAGGGAAGAAGTGTCTGAGCAGCCGTGCTGCCCCCGCGCCAAGGCCCGGACCTCTCCGGCCGGTGTTTAAAACATTAATTACATTTAATTACATTCACGTCGTCTCGTATGACTGGAGAGAAGATACATGACACTCGAGATTTTCTCGGAATAAAGGTGTTGAAGCAACCATATGTAGAAGTGAGGCTTTCATGTGCGTTTACGGTATGGTAAGAAGAAAGCACCTTTATGCTGATGTGAGGTGATCGGAGTTGTTGTTAATTCAACAAATACGCTGTCGCTTATGCATATTTATATGTGCTTTGAAGCTTTTGTAGGCTAACATTTTTGCTTTTTAACCTGCTTACAGCTTTAGAAGGTTACTCCTGATACTTAGTTCCGTGTCTAAATCCGCGTTGTTAGGGCTGCTGAAAATTTATTACGCCATTTGCATAACCAATTCAAATTATATAGTGCCAGTGACTCACCGGTGGATGTGTTTTCAATTTAAAATCATCGTTTTGTCTGGATAGAAAGCAGTCTTGTTGCAGGAAGGATGCACAAGCTCGCCGTAGGGCTCTTCACAGCCATGAATTATTGCTGTGGCTCTTCGCTCCGTGCAGGGACTGGGGTGCTGCCCCCGTTGGGGCGGACGGCAGAGCCTCACCTCTGGCAGTAGAAAAAGTTTCTTCCAAAACTCAAATGAAGGGGAATGTGGAAATATGTGGCTGATTTCAGGCTTGGAAGCTACCGCTGAGGGGCCGGAGCCTGGGGGGTGTGGGAGGGGCAGGTCCCGTCACTGGCTGGGGACGAGCAGCTCGCTCCGGGGGAGCAGAGCAGAGCCCTCAGTGTGTCCTGAAACACGGGTTACAGAGATTTGCCACCGTGAAAAACATTGGCGTTGGCTGTGATAAAACACGTTATTGAGAAAAAGCTGTATTTTTGCTTCTTTAAAATACCAAAAGTCCCACCTTGCAGGTTGTAAAACTTCGTTACAAACTGAAGCTTTACTCCGTGTGAAGTGGAAGGGGACTGACTTCTCTGCTCAGGTTTTGGTGGATGAGGAACAGCAACCAACTGCTCAGAATGTGTCTGCTCATGACTCGTAGGCCTGGTTTTGGACAAAGCCTGTTGAAAAATCTTTGCACTGCTTATTTTCCACATCATTAGAAAATGATGTCTTCCTTTTGTCTCCCAGCAATAACGACGACGAAGACCTGACACCGGAGCAGAAGGCCGAAAGGGAAAAGGAAAGGAGAATGGCCAACAACGCCCGGGAGCGCCTGCGCGTCCGCGACATCAACGAGGCTTTCAAGGAGTTGGGCCGGATGGTGCAGCTCCATCTGAAGAGCGACAAGCCCCAGACCAAGCTCCTGATTTTACACCAGGCTGTGGCTGTCATCCTCAGCTTAGAGCAGCAAGTCCGAGGTCAGTGTGCCGCCGCGTGTCCCGACGTCCCTAAGGGCCTTGGGCACCTCTGAGCACGCGCGCTGCTGGCGTCCGCCCGTGGCACGTTTTAGCTTCTTTGGCAAGATCCAAATTCAATATTTAAGCTCGGCTGCTGCTCAGCAAAGCCCCAACAGGGGGGTGTTGGCAGAGCTTGGGTGCGTGGTCGTGCTGCGTCTCGGCGCTGGACCTGCCCAGGGCGCTTCCTCGGCGTCAGCGTGCTGGAATGAATCCCAGAACCATCTGGGTTGGAAAAGACCTTGAAGATCCTCCAGTCCAACCATGAACCTCGCCCTGACCGTTGAATAACAGCCAGGGAATTATTCTAAATGCCCGTGCAGCAAACGGCCCAATCCGCTATAAAAACGTGAATATTTGAAACGGCTTTTTGCTTCATTTCCACAGAAAGAAACCTGAATCCTAAAGCGGCGTGTCTGAAAAGAAGGGAAGAAGAGAAAGTATCTTCAGATCCTCCTCCGCTTTCCCTGGCAGGACCCCACCCTGGGATGGGAGATGCCTCCAATCACATGGGACAGATGTAAAAAAGGCAAGTTGGCTCTCAGCCGTGCCCTGGGAGCCTTGTGCCCCGCAGCCGGGGGGTTCCCCCCACCCCAGGCCGGGCTGTCCCCCGGGGGGCTGCGCACGGGGGCTGGGGGAGCCCACCCACCCCTTCTACATGGATTTTGGGGGGTGCCCCAGGAGCACGCTGGGCTCCCGGGGCAGCGTTCTGGCGGGTTGCTGGGGGAGGGTGTAGGGACACACACTCACCTCCCCGTGACTGATGAGATTTTTTACTTCTTCCACAGGTCCAAGTTGCCACATTTCTTCATTTAAGCAAGAGACCACTTCCTTAACAGCTGTATTATCTTAAACCCACATAAACACTTCTCCTTAACCCCTTTTTTGTAATATAAGACAAGTCTGAGTAGTTAAGAATCACAGACGCAAGAGATTTCAGCATTCCCGATTATTAAAACCGAGAAAGAAAGAAAAAAACAAACAAAAAGTGCAACTTGAGGGACGACTCTCTTTAACATATCATGCAGAATGTCTAACGCAGTATGTTCCGAGCTGTAAGTGCACAGCCTAGAGACTGAATGGCAATCTTCTCCACACTGTGGGACAATGCATTTGTGCCTAAACTTCTTTTGGAAAAAAAAAAAAAAATATAATTAATTTGTAAGTCTGAAAAAAAAAAAAATATTTAATTTAAAATTGTAAACTTGCAATAATGAAAAAGTGTACTTCTGAAGAAAAAAAAAAAAAATCCCCAGGACTTAGGCTTCTCGTGTTTTTTCCCTGGATTACCTCAGCTGGGGTGTATACTGCATAAGTGAGTGTGCACCTGTGTGCGCCCAGGATGGCGGTGGCAAAGGGGAACTTCAGGCAGGGATTTATTTGCACATCAACAGCAGAGCCTGCTTATACCTCCCCTGCACATTTTAGGATTTATTCTTTGTTGGGGTTTTTTTTTTTCCACTCCAATCTGCTGAGTGCTGCAGTAGGGGGCTGTTTAAAGAGATGGAAAAAAATAAAATATTAATAGAACTTCAAAGTGAGTTTGATTCTCTAAAGATAAGTATTATTTATAATCTCCCCTCCCCGGCTCGGGGGGGAATGATTCAGATCTTCTCTCCACCTCAGGGCAGAGCTGTTGTTTGTATAACAGACAAACGGGTGGCACTGCTGCCTGCGGAGGGAGGGGGAAGCAGAAAACGCAGCGTTTTCGGTGTCGCCGGCGGTGCCGGGAGCTCCCTGAGCTCGTGCGCGTCGCTGCCTTCGCTCCCTCCCAGCGTCTGTAGGCTGGGCTTTATTTCAGCAGGTCGCCCGGGTTTCAGCTGCGTTTGGCAGCGTGGTCGTGCTCTTGAAGGTCCTGCCCTCCTGGAGGTTGGGTGGAAAGTCCTGATGGTGTTGAAAGGAGGAAAGGAAATGATGTTTAAAAAGACAAACTGGGCCAGCCTGTTTCAGGGGGCATCTGAGACCTGAAGTTTGCTGTCAAAGAGGTCATGTGGGTCCCCCCCCCCGTGCAGGACAGGGACCAAAACCGGCCCTCGTAGTTCTCTGCTTGGGGGACTACTTGGCGTGGGTTGGTTTTGATCTCTTAGTAGAGATGCACGTGCGTGCATGAGGCCTTTGTAGCTTGGTAGAGTTGAAGTCTTGCCGTGTCCCAGGAAATGCGGGTAATGAAGCGATGGGGCTGCCTCGATCTTCTTGCAAACCATTGAAGCTGGAGAGATAAATTACCCAGGAAAACGCGCTGTGGAAAGGCCCTTGCCAGGTGGTTTGTGTAGCTGCAGAGTTCAAAAGCGTCAGTGTTTTGGAGCAGCCCCCTCGCTGTGTCACGGGGAGGGTCATGGGTGGGAGAGGTCAGCTCCCTCCATCGCCGGGTGCCCACCTCCCACCTGGAGAGAGGGGGAAACGGGCTCGCAGGCAACCACGGCGGGTAAGAAATGATCTTTCTTTTGTGTAGGGATGGCCAGAGGTTGGACTTGCTCACCGAGCGAGCCTGGAACGTGCCGGTTGGCAGGACAAAGAGTTGCAAAGTCTCAACAAGCAAGATTGATCACATAGCGGGTTGTGAAAAGGAATAAAAGAATTGATGGGGTTTATCATTCAGCTGTGAGATGTAACGTAGGTGGTTACCTCCCAGATCTCTCGAGAACCTAAAGGAGAAGAAATGTGAGGAATTTTTTTTATTGGAACCAATCTTTAAAGTATAACTAAAACTTTCTATCGCTGTCAGTGGTGGTGACTTCGTGGCATTTTTTTTTTTGCATCCAGTTGAAATCAATCCAACCCCTCAGTTTACAAATCCTCCAGATCATTAGCTTTCCATTATTACCATGTTTGCTGCTTCACATTGGTGAAACAAGGCGTAGTCCTCAAGAATTCAGGCCAGATATTGAGGTAGCTAGGTTGTCCCTCTTCAAGCCAGACCACCCAACTGGAGGCATCTCGTGTAGCTCCGGAACGGAGGTGGTCCAGGGGAGGAGGTGGGCTGCTCCAGGGCAGGAGGAGGGTGGGATGCTCGCCATCTCCGGGTCGGTCTGTCTGTCTGCCTGCACAGGTCACGGACGGAGCCCGGGGAGGCTCGAGAGGAAAAGGGAGGGACCCGGAGGGAGACGTGGCGTCTGTCACAGCGCCTTTACAGCTTCCAGCCGCTCTCAGGAGCGCTGCTCGAAGCGGGGTGGGTGGTTGCCAACCAGAAGTGGTATCATATGTTCCTTTGTCTTCGTCGACCTCAAAACTAAATGGTTTTGGGCTTTGTAGAATCACAGAAAAGTGTAGATCGGATGGGACTAGTGGAGGTGGCCAGGGTGAAGCCCCTGCTCGCCGTGGGGCCAGTTCTGGGGTCAGGGCCGGCTCCCAGGCTCGGTCGGCTTGCCCAGGGCTGTGTCCAGCGGCGCTGGGGTTGGGGAAGGGCAGCCTGTGTCTCCAGGCGTTTTCTTTCATAGGTGCGGGGGGAAAAATACTTCTCCTCAGAAGGATGTCATCAGGATTTTATTGCCTTTCCGGCGTGGAGATTTCAGGAAGTGGAACTGCCGAACTCTAAGCGCCCCGTAACAACTGATTCTCTCTTTAAAACCAAATAATGCCGGTTCCAGCCTTTTCTTAGTATCTCATGTTGTAAAAATTAAAACGTCGCAACAAAGAGAGAGTTTTTGTCTCTGCTATTTTACACTTGCTTTCGGTTATTTGCATTTCGTCTAGTAGTAAAAGATTTTCTCAAGTTCCCCTTGGCAGGATTCCCTTTTATCTTTCTGACTGCGGTCTCGACTTGCTGTTAACAATTATCCTATATTATCTTGTAAGTCTGATTAGAAACATCCCTCCATCTTTTTATCTGCCTGAGCACTTACTTTTTTTTGAGAATAAAGAGCGATTTACAGTTCTCTGCCGGGTTTATCACCCCTTTCACTCCAGGCGGGAGGGGCTGCCTGCACCTGAGGGGGTGGAAGCTGAGTTTTCCACGCACTCTGTCCGTCCGTCCCGGGCTCGGGGCGCAGCCACATGGGACCGGGGAGGCAGCGCCAGCGTTCCCGCTCCGGGTGCTTTTATATCAAAGCAACTTGTGACAGTTTTACTCTTCAACTCCTTAAGTTTTCTCATCGGTCTCCTAACGAAGGAGCCACCCTGCTCTGCGGAGTGTGTCCGTGCGCCACGGCGAGGGGAGGGATGGACGCGTTGCCATCACGCCCGCGCTGTCAGCTCCGATGATGGCATTACTGGAGTGTTTAATAAAACCTTTATTGCTATATTACCCGGAGTCACGGCGTTGGCAGGGCTGGTGCTCCTTTGGGTTTGGGACTCAGTGCTTAATGAAATACAGCGAGCGCTAATTTGGACGGGGCTGCTCGGTTTGGAAAGGCAGGTGACACGTTATTATGTTCGGGGCCGGGGGGGGCGAGCGGGGGGCCGAGCCGCTT